TCTCTCTCTCTCTCTCTCTCTCTCTCTCTCCCCCAAAATAAACATTAAAAAAGAAAAAAAAAGTTACTGTCTACCATTCTAGAAGAAGAAGTCTCAATAGGCTCTGTGTGCACAAAGAAAAAGACAAGCCGGATCCTGAACCCAAGTTACTCTTGATCTAATAAGAGAAACAATTAAGTCGTAGTTAAGTCAAGCGCTCAAATGGAGGGGTGCATAGGATGCTGTGGAAGCATGAGGAAAAGGGAATCAGGGAAAGCTTCCTGGAGGAGGCGGCACTGGGTTGAGAAACATACAAATTAACAAGCTGGAGAGACTGCACTGCAGGATGTACAAAGTCCATGTGCAAGAGCCTGAGGGAGAGGAGAAGAGGAAGGTAGAGAGGGGACAGAGCGGATGCCAGGGCATCCTTCCAACTCGGAGGAGTTGCCAAAAGCCCTGAGAGTTTGGCCAGAGACGCACTGTTGTAAAGACAGGGCACAGGGTTTGGACTGTATCCTCAGGGCAACAGGAAGCCACAGAGAGGTTTTAAAGAGGACAGCAATATGTAATATTACAGTAACACGGTTGTCAGGTTTTGCTGTGGAAAGTTCCCCTGTGCCTCAGTGTTGCAAGACGGGCTCGAGGGGGCCAGCAGGGAAGGGGTGGGGACAATAACGAGGAGACTAACTGGAGGGAGGAGGTGCTTTACGGAACAGGGAACAGAGGGTGACTCTGGACCGTTGTTTATGTAAATAAAGACAAATGGAACTTTTCTTGCCTAGACAATTGTCACCGTGAGATCCTCCAGTCACAGATGTCTCCAAGCCCAGGCTTCTGATGCCTCCAACTCCCAGAAGGAGAGGTATCACTTCCGGGATCCCTGAATGGGCCAAGCCTGGTTTGCTCCCCGTTCCTCCCCAGCCAGAAGGCTCAAGCTGCCTAGACCCCTGGCTCGCCGGTGTTCAGGAGGCTTGAGCTCCCAGACAATTACTTCCTACCCTCTTCCACCATCAGCCGAGCTGATGGTGAAAAAGGCAGAGCACACTTTTTCCAAGACTTCGCAGAACAGGTCAGAGGAACAAGATACATTGACACGATACCAGAGACAGAGAAAACGCCGGACAGCTTTCTGAGCGGAGGGGCTCAACACAATCTTAAGGGCATACTGTACAGATCTAGGAGCAACAAAATGTCTCTATATTTCCTCAAGGACTGTATAGGGTTCACACGTGATTTCAAGTTTGTACGAGAGAAAGGACCCCCACGTCCTAATCCAATGACTCACAGCTAAAGAATATTAAAAAACAAACAGACATACAAACGCTACCCCCCATAAATCACCACCAACCTTATTCATGGGACATGGAGTAACTCACGTAGGCCTGCTAAAAGGATCCAGAACTGTGTTGTCACACACATGCACTAGGAGAGGAAAGGACAGAATGCAGGAGGGACAGCAGCCTCTGTAGGGGGAGAGCCTGGCATCAAACACCCAGGAGGAATCTAAATGCTGAGAACACCTGCGGGCACTGGGCAGTGTATGGAGAAATAGCCGATAGGCCTCTCTGTGTTTGGGAAGGTGTCAAACTTACGGATGGGACGCCCGCAGGGCTGCCTCTGACAGTGGCTAAGTGGTAACAATGGGTCCAAGGAGGCTCTTCTGTGTACCCTTGACCTTAACCCAGGGCCCCAACAATAGGAAACCAATGGCATTGGAACAGAAGATGGCTCACCTGTTTTAGGAAGAGGGTAACTAATATTAAACAAATCTTCCAGAAAAGAGAAGATAGGACCTGTGATGTTCAAAGCAAAGGCTGCGTTTCCATTTGCGATGGCATCTTTCCGGGCCCAGATGCGTATCTAAATCAAAAACAATTAAGCAGTGATTAGGGAAAGCGGTAGTGAACTTTGGAAAGAGGCAGCCTGCATGGGCCAATTTTCTGATGCTCTCGAGTCAAAGCCTTACCTTTCCAGAAGAAGCTACACGACAAAATGTTGACAGCTGACGAATCCTGAACAGCATGGAGGTTAAGGGTGCTGACCCCATGCAGTCAAAAATCTGCATATAACTGTAACTTGTGACTCCCCAAAAACCTAACTGTAACAGCCTACTGTTGACGGGAAGCCTTTACCGATAACGTAAACAGTAGATTAATGCATATTTTATATATGTATCATATATTGTAAACTTACAATAAAGTAAGGTAGTAAAAAGAAAAAGCAAATGTTATTTTAAAAAATCATGAGGAAGTTGGGGTGTCTGGGTGGCTCAGTTGGTTAAGCATCCAGCTTCGGCTAAGGTCATGATCTCACAGTTCGTGAGTTCAAGGCCCATGTTGGGCTCTGTGCTGACAACTCGGAGCCTGGAGCCTGATTCGGATTCTGTGTGTGTCTGTCTCTCTGCCCCTCCCCCGCTCGCGCTCTGTCAAAAATAAATAAGTGCTAAAAAAAAAAATTTATTTTTAAATCTGTGTGTACATGGACCCACTCAGTTCAAATGTGTGTTCTTCAAGGTCAGCTGTAAATGTGTACATGCTCTGGAGAAAGTCCAGAAGGCTAGTCACTAAGATGTGAGCTGTGATTCTCTGGAAAGGGTGTTATTTAGTCGTGTTTTGTTTTGTTTTGTTTTTTGTTTTTTCACAATAACATGTGTAACTTTTGGAATTCAGAAATAATCTCTGGGATGGTATCTACCCCTACAGAAAATGTAGACTCTATCTTAGAGTAAGAGGGTATCTCAGACCCTTGCTTCCCTTTTTAGGACATGTTTCCAATGTTCCAAAACAGAACTGTGCAGTTAGCAGGGCTCACACGATATGGTACATTATGAAACACACCTGAGTTGTGCAAATTTAAAACGGTTTGTTAATGTTTTCAATGCTAAGATCATTAACAGTGTGATCTTGTTTTCAAAGGTTTTCAATAAGGTTAATTCCCCTAATTTAAAGAAGTGCATCACAAGTCTTATGATTTTACAGTTGTTGAACAAGGGAATTCTATTCTGTTTATGACCCCTTCCTCTGTAGCAGGTAAAGAGAAAGCCTTGCCACGTTTTGTTAGGTTAATGTAACTGTGTTGTTGTTTGGGGACTCGGGAATTTATTTGCGCGACTCCGTGGCTAATTTGCTCTTGTTATACCGTTCGTTATTAGTTTAATATGAAATCACTTTCTATCCCACACCACCACCATCGGAGCACTTTTTAATGGAGTCGCTAACATTCATGCCGCAGAACGTGTGTGAAATTCAGTAACCTTGTTACAAAAGTTAGCAATGAGGGCGTGAGGGCAATTGTCCTGATGTGAACACAGTCGCTTTGAGAAAGGGTTCTCTGCAAAACATTAGAGAGAATGCTAGGAAAATGAGAAGCAGAGCGACGATATTTGCAGATGGCTGCAGCCCAAGAACACATCCACCTTAACTTCACTTTTATTTCTGCTGGAAAACTTGTCTTGAATTATATGAACATTGCATTACGTGAGGTCTTCAGGAATGTTCCCCTTTCACAAAATGCAACCACCTGTTTTTGAGGCCTCCTACCTCGTTCTCCTCGGCCTCCCTATCTCGGAAGGAGGCCCCAGGATTCAGCCCTGCCCCTGTGCTACACCTACCCACCTTCCCCCCGCCCCCCTCATTTCTAACTCCAGAGGCAAGGGGAAGATTGCTGAACCAAAGCCTAAGCTACCGAGTGGAAACAGTAGTGCCCACTCCCCACATTCAAGATGTGTGCATTTCCACTGTAACCTATGGGAAAATAATCAAGCCTTTGTATATTTAACTCAACGTTTCCAAAGCCCCTCTCATAAACTACCATTTTATAAGCCAAAGGGGAGGCAAAGTTTGGAGATTTCAAGCTGTGTGGGAAGGGGCAGGGAGCCCCCAGCAGGGTCGCCAGGAGCACAAAATAGTGAGGAACACTTTGGAGATGCGGCCACAAAGTTCTTTCAACACCACGGCTAGTCCACCAGTGTATTCTTGTGGTTCTCCACGAACACAGCGGACCTTACCGCCTGAGAGAGGAGTACCTTTACACATGCCTGTGTGTGCTAAGCTCTGTTCAAAGTATGTGATTTTCAGGTGGCTCAGTCTGTTGGGCGTCTGGCTTCAGCTCAGGTCATGATCTCATGGTTCATGGGTTCAAGCCCTGCATGGGGCTGTGTGCTGACAGCTCAGAGCCTGGAGCCTGCTTCAGATTCTGTGTTTCCCTCTCTCTCTGTCCCTCCCCCACTCATCCTCCTCTCTCTGTCTCTCTCAAAAATAAATAAACTTAATATTTATAATATACATATATATATGATTTCCATCCTTAGTTACATTTCCACGTTTATCTTGATGTCAACAAGGATTAACCGCATTTTCAATTTTACTAAATTTTTATCTCTTACTTAATAAGCAACTCTTCATATACTCTGGACACTATTCCAAGAGTACATTCTGGCTCCCCTGTAGACTATGGTGGACTCCTTCCCTTTGCAGAGCTGAGCCATCGCCAAATGCAGCATTCCGCTGATAAATTCCTCCCAAATTTCAATTTTCTGGCTAAGCACATGACCTTCTCAGGCATGTTCCATTTCCTCTCTGCTTCCAACAGCAGCTGGTTTTCTTTTCAGGGCTGTCCTTCACCAAGAAACAGACCTGTCCCTTTTGTGAGACGTGGTTGCAGTATGGCAGCATTGAGATGGGCAAGCCACTTGAGATGTGGATACTGACACACCACCTCGGTCGCTCGTGAGCTCCGGGGCTCGGCTCCTTCATGCCAGGCACAAAGCACGCGCTTGTAAATAGTGCCCAAGGGGGCTCCTGGGTGGCCCCGTTGGTTAGGCGTCCGACTTCGGCTCAGGTCATGATCTCACAGTTTGTGAGTTTGAGCCCCGCGTCGGGCTCTGTGCTGACCGCTCAGAGCCTGGAGCCTGCTTCGGATTCTGTGTCTCTGTCTCTCTCTACTCCTCCCCTGCTCACACTGTCTGCCTGTCTCTCTGTCTCTCTCAAAAATAAATAAACATTAAGAAAGATTAAAACACTAAATCGTGCCCAAAATTTCTGGCTGTGCTTGACGTGGCCTGCGTTCCATCTGTGGATATCAAGGGTCTACCAGTGAGTCTTCAGGCTGGAGCCAACAGTTGAGGAAGAGAAGCTGTGGTCTCCGTCTAACACGGTGTTACTAATGCATCCTCCAGAGGAGCAGCTCTGGGTGATTCTCCCCCTGGCGACAGACTTGGCTCATGCACAGCTTTGTTATCTCCACAAGTCAGTGGCACAAGCCTGGAAGATCTGGGGCGGGCCCAGGAGAGAGTCTCAGATGGGACTGTGGGGGCCTGATTTTCCTCAGCTCTGTGGAGTCCATCTGGCAAGCAAGATCCCGGCCTACGGAATCGGCCTTCCCTCCACACTGCAGAAGAGGCAGTGAACCAGCATGTAAAGCACTTGTCACAGCAGCCCTGACATTTCCCTAAAGAATTATTATTTTTTGAAGTTTATTTATTTATTTATGTTGAAGGGGGGGGGGCAGAGAGAGGTGGTGGTGGGGGGGAGAGAGAGAGAGAGGGGATCCCAAGCAGGCTCCACGCTGCCAGCACAGAGCCCAGCGTGGGGCTCGAACACGCGAACCGTGAGATCGCGACCCGGGCTGAGATCAAGAGTCAGACGTGTACCCGACTGAGCCACCCAGGCATCCCATTCCGAGAGAATTATTATGTGATGAGGCTGTAACTGGGTGAAAACTGGGTATTTCAGGACAGAGCGCCCACTTCATACAACTGTGGGGAGGTGCCGGGTGTCTCAGAGTTGAGGAATCCAGCAGGGCTCCTTCTCGATGGGGCGATACCTACCTACAGGCAGGCATCCGTCCTGCAGGCACTCTGTCTGCCATTACAGTTGTTCCCAGCTGGTGTCCCTTCTGGTCGGTTGGTGCCCAGACTGCCAGACACTTGGATTATCACCCCCGCTTCATGAATGGCATCGGCTACACAACAGGTAAACCTGAGCTTCGAGGTGCTAGTTTGGCAGCTCCCCTGTCTTCTGAAAGGTGCCAACAGCCCGGCAAGAGGGGGTCCAGAACCTACCTTGAGTGCAGACTTTCCACAGAGCCAAAAGGGAGAATGGTGGCGTCCCATCTGCAAAGCCACCCTAAGGGTTTCAACGGGGCTTGGAAAAAGTCAGAGGGGCCACCAGGAGGTGACGATGGGAAATGTAGGTATAACCCCTGGATGCAGAGAGAATGGATGAACCACCTGTGGCCAGTATGAAGGCACCCTTACCTGCAGAATCTTCCTCACTCACCTCTTGGCCCCTTTCAGTTCTGCTGACGTGGTCATAGTCACATATGGCCAACGCGACTAAATAAGTTGGCATGTGGGGAGTGGTGGAAAAGGTGGTAACGGTCCACACGCTTCCATTCACGTCTCTTTTTTCAGACTGACCTACAGAAATTGGTTTTAGTCCAAATCACCGTTAAACCTAAGCAGTAATAGCTACCTTTGAAACAATGTGTGGAGTCGACTGTCACCCATAGTCTAGCAGTGTGGATTTCTGCACCCCTAAGCCTGTCAAAACCATATTAAGTGAAATAAGTCAGGGAAAGACAAACACCATACAATTTCACTGACATGTGAAATTTAAAAGGCAAAACACATGAACAACAACAACAAAAAAGCACAGACTCAGGAATACAGAGAATAAAATGGTGGTTGCCAATGGGGAGGGGGCTAGGGAGATGAGCAAAATGGGTAAAGGAGATTAAGAGCTACAAACTTCTAGGTTATAAAACCAATTCCATGGGGAAAGAATGTACAGCATAGAGAAGTCTGTCATTAACAGTCCTAACTTTAGGGGCGCCTGGGTGGCTCAGTCGGTTGAGCGTCCGACTTGGGCTCAGGTCATGATCTCGCGGTCTGTGAGTTCAAGCCCCGCGTTGGGCTCTGTGCTGACAGCTCAGAGCCTGGAGCCTGCTTTAGATTCTGTGTCTCCCCCCTCCCACACCCCTCTCCTGAATGTGTGTTTCTCTCTCTCTCAAAAATAAAGACTAAAAAAATAAAAGTCCTAACTTCGTATGGTGAGCATTGCATATTACATAATTGTTGAATCACTATGGTATACACCTGCAACCAATGTAATCTTGTACGTCAACTGTACTTCAATTAAAAACAAACAATGGGCACCTGGGTGGCTCAGTAGGCTAAGCATCTGACTCTTGATTTCATCTCAAGTCACGATCTCATGGTTAGTGAGATCGAGCACTACATCTGGCTCTGTGTTGATCGGGTGGAGCCTGCTTGGGATTCTCTTCTCTCTCTCTCTGCCCTTGCCCCACTTGTGCTGTCTCTCTCTCTCTCTCTCAAAATAAATAGACATTTAAAAACAAACCGTGTTAGGAAGGTCTAAGGACAGCCTCTTTGCTCCGAATCAGTATCTTGAATAACACGGTCTTGACTGAGGACCTAATCCATGGGCACCTCAAGTGACGCCCACCACCCATCTCTCATCTTTTCCATCTACTTCTACTGTTTCATTGACCAGGCCACCTCTCAGGATGCTTAATCTAGAGCCTGTGACAGGTCATGGAAGGATAATTTTGCCATTGCTAGGTTTCAGCGAGATCTTCAGTAGAGGCAAGCTGGGCCTTCAAAGCCGAGGGCAGGTATTTGATGTGAATCAGGCTGGCAAACATTAACAGGGCAGTGGTGGGGACCATGGCAAGTCTGGGGGGGAGGCGTCTGCAGGGGACAGTCTCTCGTGAGCTGTAACTATTGCTGTCACAAAGGAGCTGCAGGCCCTGCGTTGTTAGATCTTCTAAGTTTACAAGGGAGTAAAAATCTTGATGTTTATGAGAAATCTCTGGATTTTTAAAAGTTCAATCAGAAGGAAAAAAAAAATCACGCGAGCCAAATGAAACACATCTGTGTACCAGATTCAGCCTAAGTCCTCGAGCTTATCACTAACGATCAATGTTGAAGCCCAAACTAGTGGGCAGACAGGCTACCAAAGTAGAACGAAATGGCGTTCCCAGATTCCTGTGCAAAAAGAATCAGGACTTGCCATCTCTAAAGTGTGGGTGCTGGGGGCGCCTGGGTGGCGCAGTCGGTTAAGCGTCCGACTTCAGCCAGGTCATGATCTCGCGGTCCGGGAGTTCGAGCCCCGCGTCGGGCTCTGGGCTGATGGCTCAGAGCCTGGAGCCTGTTTCCGATTCTGTGTCTCCCTCTCTCTCTGCCCCTCCCCCGTTCATGCTCTGTCTCTCTCTGTCCCAAAAATAAATAAACATTGGAAAAAAAATTTTTTTTAAATAAATAAATAAATAAAATAAAATGTGGGTGCTGATACGTACCCCATGTGACTGCTCTCCCTAATTATAATACACTACCAACACATGGCCTAGAAAAGCCATTGCTATAAAAGCTATTAAAGAGTTAAATACATATGTATGTGCGAGTATACACATATATCTGTAGGTCCATATATATGCACACTATTGTAATTAACATATTCACACATACCATGACAGGAAATCTTACTTACCTAGCTTTGGCATATTGGAAAGGGCCCCATAGCTTGGATGATGAATAATTGTAATATTAAAGGTTGCCTTTAGAGCTGGCTCATCAAAACAAGGAAAAACGCTCCTGGCAAATGTTGGCTCCATCTGAGATGCTAACAGGGCCCTGTAACACATTTGGGGGGGGAAAAAAACCCTATTTATTTTTATTTCAAGTTAGTGGACACACACACAAAAATATTGAGGGATGATGGCTTGTAATTATATTCAGGAAGGAGCTAGAACATTTCCCCTCATCTTCCGCACTGCCTTCCAGTTAAAACACATACACTCCCAAGGCTCACCGCACCTTGCAATTCTTGTAAGACCTAAAATACAAAAGACCCATTTAATTTTCAACCACAAAATACTATTTACTTCATTACATCATATGCCTTTAAAACCTTCTGCAAACAAAATAGGAACAAATATAGCAAATATGCAATGGCAGGCTTTTGAGAACCAAGTATTTTTTTAAACTAGGATTTCTTTTTGGGGAACGGACTATTGCTTTCATCTTCCACCAAAGTGTAAGCAGTGTCTGCTGAAGAATGCATTTTTTTAAACATTTTCTTACAGTTTATTTATTTATTTTAAGAGAGAGAGAGAAAGCTCGAATTGGGGAAGGGCAGAGAGAGAGAGAGAGAGAGAGAGAGAGAGAAGGAGAGAGAATCCCAGGCAGGCTCCACGCTGTGAGTGCAGAGCCTGATGTGGGACTCAAATTCACGAACCGTGAGATCATGACCTGAGCTGAAGTCAGATGCTTAAGTGACTGAGCCACCCAGGCACCCCAAGAATGTCCACATTTTTATCTTTTTCTCACCTGTTCTTCTGGGTTGAAAACTTAGAAAATGTTTTATTTTGCACCCTCTTGGGGGTAAACAATACAGGTGCGTGTCAAGTGCAAAAGACAATTTTTGTTTCCAGGTGGGTAGATTTATCAAATCCCTTCTGCTCCTTCCCCCATCTCCATGGAAAATTTTTTAAAAAGTGGCATTATCTCACAGTGCACTGGTGATTTATGGGGAATAGTTTAGGGTCAAGAGTGTCCTGAGCAAATGAGGAGATGGTCAGGTTCATTCTGTGTCAATGGGGCCCAAGTCTGACAGGACATGGGGCCTAGCTAACAACTCTCGTCCGAATAAACCTGTGGAATCACTAAGACTCAGTCACCTGGGGTGGGGGGTTCCTGAGCGGCTCATTCAGTTAAGCATCTGCCTTTGGCTTGGGTCATGATCTCACAGTGCACTAGTTCGAGACCCACATTGGGCTCTCTGCTGTCAGCATGGAGCCCTCTTCAGATCCTCTGTCCCCCTCTCTCCCTGCCCCTCCCCTCCTAGCTCTCTCTCTCTCTTTCTGAAAGAAAGACAGACAGACTTAGGGACTTGGGAACCTGTTTTGGGAGGACAACTGTGGATGCTAATTCTTTTTTTTCTCCTAAGACCCTGAGACTTAGTGTCCCTGATGCATTTACTCTTACTTCAGGCCCAGCTCTTAGATAAGTAACAGGGGAATTCAACAGGTGCCACAAGAGAGTATGGTCCCTCCGTCACCACCACCCACCTCTGGGATCCCTCCTCTACCACGATAAGGCCTCTATTCACATGAAAATTCACAGGCAACGATCAGCACGTTCAAAAGCAACCCACAGTCAGCTAACTGGATGTGTTCATCACCTCACCGTGACAAAAGTGTAATTTTCAACAAGCCTTCCCTACTTGCAGCTTCCCACTGTACGTTGCTCTTGCTTGCATGGACTGGAAGGTGGCCTGTGAACTCTGATACCAGCCACTTTGTCTGCAGGACTCTGTTCCATCTCCTGCTAGCTGAGTAATCCTGGACAGGTCCCACATTCCTGCCAAGCCTCAGTTTCCCCATCCAGAAAGCAATGGCACTACCAACCTTTTATTGCTGTTTGAGCTTTCACATTATTAGTAGCTGAATGTATCAATAAACCACCTCTGAATTCTGCTATATTCCTTGCAACCTCACAAACTGCTCTCCACGTAGATGAACTATAGAATTCAAGGAGATGGGGCACCTGGGTGGCTCAGTCGGTTAAGCATCTGACTTCAGCTCAGGTTATGATCTTGTGGTTCATGAATTCAGGCTCCCCATGGGGCTCTGTGCTGACAGCTCAGAGCCTGGAGCCTGCTTCAGATTCTGTGTTTCCCTCTCTCTCTGCCCTTCTCTCACTTGAGCTCGCTCTCAAAAATAAACATTAAAACAATTTTAATATTAATTAATTTATTTTGAGAGAGAGACAGAGAGTGAGCATGAGTGGTGTAGGGTCAGAGAGAGAGAATCCACGCTGTCAGTGCAGAGCCTGATACGGTGCTTGATCTCACGAACCATGAGATCATGACCTGAGCAGAAACCAAGAGCTGGGACACCTAACAAACTAAGCTACCGAGGTGCCCCCCAAAATGGATTCTAACAGGGATAAAGACATCCAACAGAATTGAAAAAGGAGCCCCTGAGGTGACCATGACTGAGTCATCTAGGGTTGGGAGAAACAGCCCCCTTGGAAGTTTGCGCCTGGCCTCCATGAGGCCTGTGAGCTCCCTGGAATTGTAGGTCATTTTGTACTAATGGTAATAAATTAGCCTGAAAAAGTATAATGTAGAGTGAAAAAGCACAGCCAATTTTATAAAACGTGCTTATCCATCTGGAAAGCCACCACATGCCTATTGTTTTTGTAATAGAAACTATAAAACATAAAGCTTGGTAACATCTCCACTGCCATGACCTCACAAAGCATAGGCCTCTCAAGGAAGCTGCAAGGTCAGGAGAGAAAATCAGACTCTTCAAGGAAGTGGGAAAGTTTTAACCTTCTCAAAGGGGGCTACAAGTTCAAAAAGGCTAAGAGACATCAGCTCAGAGAGTAACCACTTGAAGCAAATAGCAAGCAAGTGCCTTCCTATTCCATGATTCAGGCCTCTTGAGAGGTGAAATAGAAGAAACTCTTGGATTTTACTCAACTATTTCCCTCCCTGGTTTTATACAAACAAACAAAAAGGGAAAAAAGTCCCTACGACACACAGCCCTTCTGGCTCACAGTCCTAACTACAAAGGTCAGGGCCAGCCAGAAACACACACGATCTGGTTATGCCACATCTGGGAACTCAACACTGGTATTTATTTCCCTTCTCTCTCTCTCTCTCTCTGCTTTGGATTCAAGCAACCCTGTAAAGATATCTTGACCTCAGAAAATAGAACCATCCACCCTCTGCTCCCTTCAAACCTCGCCGAAACATGCTATTATGGTGCCTGACAAGTCTGGGTTTAGCGCGGTCAGTTGGTGAGGGAGTTAATTTGGGACAATTTGTCCCGTAGCGGCTCAGTATTGCAAAGCCACTCTCCTGCCCTCTTGTGTGGCCAGGGAATCATGGGCTCACCACTTTCTTGTGCTAGAAGAGGGCTTAGGGGTCAAGACCACATGATATCCTTTGGGATCCATCTACTGCCATATAAAAAATATCCACTCATTCATTCCAAATCATTGTATGAACTCTGCCTACAGCTCTAGCTAACAAGTGCTACATGACATAACTGGTCAAGGGTTAAATAAGACCGGAAAGCCTGTCTCCCCAAGTTGTTTTTACACAACAACACCCTCAGAAATCAAAATGTTTTAGTAAAGACGGATATTACACCACTGGACTGTGGTTCAAGGATTGGCCCATGAATCATGTTTGTTTATTACTTGTATCATAGGATCTTAAAGCTGAAGTTTCCACCAGGCAACAAAACACAATAGACGTGCAATCCCAGAGAGAGGTGCCAAACCACCTTATGAAAGTTTTCGGAGTAGATGGCCTTGAGAACCTGGGGCCCTTCTGGGGCCTCTGGGCTCCACCAAAAACACATGGAAGGAAGGTCAGGCAATGGAGGCCAGAGAGGAGAGGAGAGATTTCTAGGTGGGGGGGAGGAGGTGGTGCAGGTTAGCCAAGCTTCTTGATCTCAGGGTGCTGGGAGGAGGGAAACCCCCGAACTGGGGTGAGCCATGGGGGAGAAGATCCCTCAGAGAGCAGAAGCAGAGAGACTCAGAGCCTGGTACCCAGCTTACTGCCGGGAAAGCCGAAATTGACCCCGGTCGGAGTTGAACTCCCACCAGTGGGAATGTAAAAGGCAAAAGGAAAGGCATTGGAGGCGGAACCAGAAGAATACTCTTGCCTTGGGACCCACGTGAGCCCCAGGCCAGGGATTAGGAGTGTTCCTTGGAACAGCTGTGGGCCCTGAGACGCGGACTGAGCCAGGACGGGGACTGACTTGGGTTCTGTCCAACAGGGCCCACCTGCATGAAACTAGAAGAGCTTGGAGATGCACTCCTCCATGTCTAGGGGCTGAGGAAGGAGTCACTAATGACCACCAGAATGGAGAACTAGAGGCAGCATTCTGCAGGGTCAAGAACATTGTAGTAGAAAGGGAAACAGTGAGAAAATGACATCTCAAGGGAAAAAAGGTATGTGCTAGGCCAGAGTCAGGCCAAACAGCAAGAGTGCTGGCTCAGGTGAGAACTGCCCTACGTGTCACCTCACCATGTCTCCCCCAGACCCACCGGACCTGGTCGGGGTGTAGAAGCAGCTCTCAAGATAAAGGTGGGGGGGGGGGGGCTAGAACCCTGAGGTGGAGAAAGGGAAGGAAGCACCACTACCCCTGACCGACTGCAGGCTTCTAACCTGAAAGCCCACCCAAGCTTGGGGGAGTGAGGGTGGAGGGAGAGAAAGGGAGATTTAACAGCTAACTCAGTTCAAAGCTTTTAAAAGCTTTGACACAGGACTGGATGCTCAAATTTTTGCATCTGGACAGTGTTTGTGACTTAGGGAATGTAGCTCATCTGTCACCTAAGAATGAGCAGTAAATTATGGGGCTGTTAGAGTATTTAAGCAGGAGCAGGAAAGATGATCTCTGAGACTAAATTGTAAAAGCACAGTGGGAGAAACACAGTTGCCTTTTTACTGAACTGGGAGGTGTGCCTTTTCGATAGGCTGGTTACACTTGTTTGCAAAAGATACAGGATCTGAATCTTTGATGAGCAAAACCATCTCCCAGAGAAGACAGCTGGGCCCCGTGAGACATGTGGGCTCAACACCTCTATAGGATAATGAAATGACCTCTTTTATC